GGTTAGGTCTGAGCTCTGTTTGGTCTTGAATACATCTTTGATATGGTGAGGATCACTGATCCGTCCCTCCGAGCCAATATATTGGAGAGCAAAACTGAGGTAGGCTTATTATACCAGGCATGAAACGAGGACTCCTAGAATAGATGCGATTATTGGAAATTCTGCAGAAGAAAGGAAGAAGAGATAGAAATATTGGAAATAGGAAGGCAAAAGTGAATTTATTTCAAGAGGCTAGGATGGCCTCCCTTGCGAAAACAGAAGGATCGAGTCTCAGACGGTCAAATGCATTGATTAGTTGACAAATTATTTTAGTATCTTTCTTCTATGTCAGGTATAAGTACTAAGAAATAACTTTCAAAGCTATGGAAGTCCTAGAATACAAAGCAGACGATACCTAGAGGTATGCTTGGTGGAAAAGCATTTGCATCAACCCCCAAAATGTGTTTACTAGATCCCTGACCACGCATCACGCCAGCTGCACCTTCCAGCTCCGCAGGACAGGTGAAGACATCTTTTTTTGTCACAGCCACAGAAAACCGCTGAGGGTTTTAAGTAGGACACAGACATTATCTCATTTGTGTTTCAGAGGATTCTCTCTGACTATAAAGACGAGAATGGCTTACAGGGGAAAAGGCCGACAGCCAGAGAGGTCAGCCAGGAGGAGGTGTTTGCTCTAAAGGAGAAAAAAGATGTTTGACTGTTGAAGGGAAAACAGTTTCTCTGCTCAACACTCCTGACACCAAATGTGTGTTTTTCCCATCAAGCAATTCTCTGCAGACCCCAACGAGGTGTCCTGCCATTTAATACCGTTTAATTCTGTCAGTACTGCGAGTTCGGGCGGACCCCACAGGAGAAGGGTTCGTCCCACAAGGCGGCCCAGTCTGGACGCCAATCACAAGTAGCGGGTCCCCAGGGTACCCACCGTTCTGCCCGACTTGGCTACGCATCAGGGGTTCCCATGACCTAGTCCTTAGTTTTGTTGCTATACTAGGAGCACTCAGAAAACTCAAGGAAACGCTGTACTTACTATTATCCGTTTATCGTGAAGGATACAGATGGCTGACTTCCGGGAGGGGCTCGATCACAACGGCTTCTGTCTCTAGAAGTTTGGGGTGCAGCACCCTCCAGAGATGCGGGTGCCTTCAGCAACCCGGAAGCCCCTCAACCCCTTCCTGTATGGGTTTTTACAGAGGTTTCATTAGGCACAATTGATTAAATCCTCATTCAATTTGCAACCCTGTCTTCTTCCTGGAGGTATGGCCTGGGGCTGAAAGTCCAACCCCCAGATCTTGGGGTTGGTTTCCCTGGCAACCAGCCTCCAAGCCCCAAGGGGCACCCTATTAGCATACACTCAGGTGTGGCCAATGGGGGAGGGGCTTTTTATGAATAACAAAAGATGTTCTACTCCCCTATTCTCCCATCTGGAAATTCCAAAGGTGTTAGGAGCTCAGCGCCAGGAACCCGGGAGATCATCCTGGACGAGGATGGACACGACACCCAATAAGTGTCCTTATAAACGACAGAAGAAGAGAAACAGACACAGGAGAAGCCACAGGAAGAGAGAGGCAGAGATGGGAGGGATGAGGCCACAGGCCAAGGGATCCCTGGAGCCCCCAGAAGTTGGGAGAGGCAGGAAGGACCCCCGCCCCCAAACGTTGGGGGGAGCGGAGCCGCCCTGCCCAACCTGGATCTCAAACTTGGGGGCTCCAGAACTGAGAGACAGTAAGTTGTCCCCAGTTTGCAATCCTTTGCTACAGCGGCCCTAGGAAATGAATACCATCTTGTAGTACGCTCAACGCTTTTTCCTCCATGTGTCACCGGTTTGGGGAATACATACACTCTGTTAGTTCTAGTTATTTAGTGAAAGAGTTGCTAAACAAAGCAAGAGTGGAAATGGAGCCACCACCGGGCCTGTGGGCGAGATTTTTGCCCGGAAGTCTGAGCCCTTCTCCTCACACCTGAAATTTCACCACGGAAGAGAGGCGGGCTGCCTCCTGGCCACCCTGCGTGACCCTGTGGCTCCTAAACACAGGTGAAAGGTGACCTAGTGGCAAGCCACAGCTAGTAAGAGCCTTCTGTGAGTGATTAAGCTTTACAGGTGGCTCCAATATGGATGTGTTGCTAGATCTTACCAGTTCATTTTCCAACAAGGTAAGAGGGATTTTAAAATCAATTCTAATAAAGGGAGAAATAAAGTCTAATAAGTAATGGGTGTGATGGGAACATCATCAGGCACAATGCCTGCATGGATTTTATTGTTTTCTGAAAATCACAGCTATCAGAGCCAGAGTGAAAATACTATAAAATGCCAAGATGTGGATAATTAAGCAGTGAATTTTTTGAAAAGGAGAATGTCTTAATGGAATGAATCATTATGAATCTGGAGCCCAAAATATAGAATTATTTGGTCTGTTGAATATAATTATTTGGCTAAAATGTGAGAATTACCTTGCAGAAGAATGGTTCTCTGTGTGTGTGGTATGCGGACCATCAGCATGGGCCCCACCTGGGAATCTGTTAGAAATGCAGATTTGGGGGCCCCACCCCAGATCTACTGAACCACAAACTTGAGAGGGGCGCCCAGCCATCCAGGTTTAACAAGCCTTCCTGTCGAGGCCCATGCAAACTTGTGTTATGGCATGCTAAACTGAAAACACGAAGCAACTTTACAGAAAATGTGACCCTTGTAGAAAAGGAACATAATTTTGCTTCTTCGATGCATCAAACCTATAACCTTCAAGTGGTTGATTAAAGAGACTGGCAATTCGGAAATGTGCGTTTTCCTAAGAAACATAAAGATGAAACACTGGCTTCCAAACATGCATGAGGGTCCTGTTCCCAGACAGTGACACCAATTTGCTTCCAGAGCTCCATCCTGGGGGCCACAGAGCCTAGACCAAATATCTAGGTAACCGGAGAGGGCAGAAACTTCCAGAGAATCCCTGAAAAGTTTCCTGTGTGTTCCCTCTGGGTCCGTGGTAAAGAGTGATGGCAGGACATTCCCTGTCGCCATGGCGCAATCTTATGTGGATTTCAGAAATGCTTTCCACACCCAGCTGTGTGTGTTACCTAAAACCTCTTGGGTTTCTTACGGATGACGCATGTAGCTATAGTCAAAAACATGGACGTGAAATTAAATTCTCTCTTTGATAACGACTGGTTGCAGTCAGAGAATGAAATCTGTTTTCTTATCCGCTTGTGCCAAATAAAGCCACATTCATCCGTGCTGGCTTTCCCTTTGGCTCACGTGGAAATCGTACAGAATATTTGCCTGGGCGTGTTTGGGGAGTGCTTTGAAACTCGATGATCATAGAGCAGCAGGCAAATGGAAGTTCGATGTACTTTTCAGAGTCTGAGAGCCAATTAAAGAGGTACCTGAAATGGTTAGGGCGATTCCAAGGTAACTGGAACTCAAAAGTGAATTCTTTTCTTTGACTTTACTATGGCATAAGATAAAATGAGGCGGACCTTGGAAATTTTGAATATTGGCATTTAGCTTGAAAAATAATGAAATTATATTTTTCAGCGACCTATAAATAACACAAATGTACCATCCTCTCTCTTGCACGTGGGTGTGTGCACGGGCATGCACGGTTTAGCAGTGTGGTGTTTATAATGTAATGTGTGTGATTTTGACCATTCTTGACATTTATACTCTGAAAAAGGATACAAATTGGAAATAAATTACATTTACTCATCTATGTACACTCTTCAAATATGCAATCAAAATGAGAATATTTCCAGTGAGAGTAAGAAAAACAAAATTCTCTGCAATGTCAGAGGTGGAGAAGCCTTTTAAAATGTGTGTCAAAACACAGTAGAAGTAAGGATAGATTCTATTCCAGAGTGACTGCAACCCCACCCCAGGACATGATTTCTAGGCAGAGGGAGACGAGACACATTGGAGAAAGAGACGAATGCATGTACAAAAAGTAAAGCAATCCCCAGGAGGGCAGAGAGAGAGGGAGAAAGAGAATCCCAAGCAGGCTCCACACTGTCAGTGCAGAGCCCGACATGGGACTACCTCCCCCACACTGTGAGATCGTGACCTGAGCCAAAATCGAGACTCAGATGCTTAACCAACTGAGTCATCCAGGTGCCTTCTCTATCTGTGTTTTGTTTTGCTTTGCTTTGTTTTGTTAAGCAAAAAGAGAATGTTTTATCTACTCCAGTGATTCAGTGACCACAATAAATGTGATGATCTACGAAAAACCCACAGCAAACATCACACTCAACAATGAAAAAGAAAGTGTTTCCTGTAAGATCCAGTGTAAGGCGAAAATGCGCACCGTAGCCACGTCTATTCGACACAGCTAGACTAGACTAGAAGTCTATTCGACTAGAAGTCCTAGCCAGAGCAAGTATACGAGAAAAGGGAATAAAAGACACCGAAATTGGAAAGGAGGAAGTAAAATCATCTGTTTGCAGATGACATGGTCATATAGGGGGAAAACCCTAAAGACTCCCCACCACAAAAAACTCTTAGAACTGATAAAGCCAGTAAAGTTGCAGGACGCACAGTCAGCGCACAAAAATCAGTGGCATTTCTACATACAAGTGATAAACTATCCAAAAAGGAAATTAAGAAGACCGTCTCATTAGAAAAAGCAACAAAAACACGGACATCCTTAGGAAGAAATTAACCAAAGAGGTGAAAGTTTGTGCGTTGGAAATTATAAAATATTGGTGGAGGAAATGACAGATGACAGATAAACGGAAAGATAGTCCTGTTCATGAACCACAATAATTAATATGGTTGCATTCCACACAGTCCACAGTGATCTACAGACTCAAACCAATCGCAATCGAAGTGCCAATGGCATTCTTTACAGAAATAGGAAAAGCAACCCTAAAATTTATACGTAACCACAAAGACCCTGGGTGGCCAAAGAAGTTTTCCCCTGGAGAGAACGTCAGGGGAGGACACACCCCAGTTAGGAGGCCAGGGATGAAAAGCTCTGTGTCACTCCCGATACACTCTACAAACTGGTTCGACTTGCCGTCTCCCAACAAGCCTGCTCCTTCATGGACTACGGTTCATAATCCGTTACCGATGGCCTGAAATGATCCTGTGAAAGCCAGGACTTCCAGTGGGATGTGTCCAAGTGAAGGTAACACATAAAGGCAACCTATTCGTCATCAATGGAAATGATTTCCCTAAAGAAGAACAAAATAAAGTCAAGACTCCACTGAAAATAGAATTGTTTCTAATCCAAGAATAAAAGTAATTACTCATAGGAATATTGAATTACAACAAATTTTGGCTTCCTAGGATAGGATGGCTCAGAGATAGAAATATTTCTAATGCTTTCAGTTTTTATCCCCCCTGATGTTTTCAAATGAATTGAACTGAATATTTTGTAAAGTTTCAATAAAATATCCTCACATGCCTGTCATTTCTTCAGATAAATTTGCAATATTTAAAAAGGCTGGCACACAAACCTCCACTAATTCAAAACACACTCGATGAGTATAAGGGAAGGGATGGTAACATTTGGAGACAAATTTTTCTCATGCCATAAATGGGAAATAATTGGGATTTTGGAATTTTGTTAGGCAGATTTACATTAATCCTATTTTTATATTAAAATACATGTCAATTACTTGGAAGGGAATTATCACTACTGTATCGTGAGTTGATATTTTGATTCTATGATTCTCTCAGTAGTATATCCTGAATTGTAATCAATAATGAATACTTCTTTTTTAAAAAATCTTTATTTGTTTATTTTGAGTGAGGGGCAGAGAGTGAGGAAGAGATTCCCAAGCAGTCTCCACACTGTCAGTGCAGAGCCTGATGCTGGTTTGTTCCCACAAAGTGGGAACAATGACCTGAGTGAGTGAGATAATGACCTGAGCTGAAATCAAGAGTCACTTAACCAACTAAGCCACCCAGGTGCTCCAAGAATGACTACTTCTTGATATTTAATGTATAGCACATTTATTTATAAGTTTTTTCAAAAGGAAAAAAATATACACATGTCGAATTAGAACATGGCATTTATCTTCCAGGAATTTATAATATACCCTTTCGATTTCAATTATTTTACTTTTCAGATGTGTGTGTGTGTGTGTGTGTACTTAAGCACTTTTAAAGGTGTTATTAAGTAGAAGGTAAGCGGAGAAGATTGTGTAGGTGTATAAATCATATGGAAACTTCCAAAGAAGAAATCATAGGTTCTGAGATCTCCACACCCTGTGTACGTGAATATCTATGTAACATGTACATATATGACTATGACATCATGTATTCCTTGACATACTATATATGTATTCTATTGCCTGTTTCTCTGTAGAACCCAGATTACTCCAACGATCTTTGCTCTTTCTCCTTGAAATAATTTGAAAAATTTGAGTATATTCTTTTTTTTTTTAACATTTATTTACTTTTGAGAGACAGAGAGACAGAGAGAGAGACAGAGCACAAGCAGGGGAGGGGCAGAGAGAGAGGGAGACAGGGAATTGGAAGCAGACTCCAGGCTCTGAGCTGTCAGCACAGAGCTCGACGCTGGGCTCAAACTCAGGGACTGTGAGCTCATGACCTGAGCTGAAGTCAGATGCCTAACTAGACTGAGCCACCTAAGCGCCCCAGAAATGTTTAAGTATAATGAGGTAGTTTCTTAGTAGAAGTGGAAGACAAAACTCAACCATTTCGTTACCTTTTCCTATTGCTGACTTACTACTAACGATGCAATTACCTAAGCAGCTACAAGGAAGTAATTCATCATAAACCAGCAGGTCAAGAGCAGTAAGCATGTGTGTGATTTCGGAGAAAAAGATTTTGTGGTTGTCTGTTAGTAACAGCGTCAATTCAAGTGAGACGGAATTTGGCTTGTGAGACTGACAACAATGCCAGCTCAGTTCATGTTCCAGTGCTGTTGTGTGTCTGGCAGTTGGATGCAGACATGGAGAAGACTGGACCCCAGCCCTCCAGCACGCGTGGGGTCATCCAGAAGGAGACACGCACGCAGTGGCCAAGTTGTAAGGAAAAGAGCAAACGAATGACTGCACTTCATAGTTGTTCACCCCAAACCATGCCTTTCCTTGATGGGTGTCCGTGTTCTGAATCTGCACCCCACATAAGGCTCCTTTGGTTGCAAATGGTTCCACTAGAACTGTCCCAGCGTCATCTTTTTCCTTTCTTTCTCCTTAGAGAGGAAAGATGAGTTTTATTTGGCTTCAACAATGTCCAAAAAGAAACTGGAGATATTCTAGTATTTCCACAATAAATGATGTTCCTCTTTCTCTTAATGACTCCCTTCTTAAGAAACAAGAAAGCTAAAAAAAAAAAAAAAAAAAGATCCTATAGGGTAGTCTGGCAATTCTCTACCTCGGGGTGAGTTCGTCTGCCCAGAGGGCACTTGACAATGTCTGGAGACCTTTTAGGTTCTCACAACACAGGGAGGATGTTACCATTGGCACCTGGTGGGTCGAGACCAGGGATGCTGCTCAGTGACCCACAATGCACAGGGCAGCTCCCACAAACAAGAATGATCCAACCTCAATGTCAATAGTGTTGAGGTTGATACACTGTGCTGGACCCCACTCTCCATCATATTGACTCCTAGTGGAGGGAGCATCACAACAGAATCCACATAGCCATGGACCAGCATAACATCGTCACTTGTCATAAATCTAACATGAAGTTGGGGTTCTTGCAATTCCCAGAATGCCTAATACATTTCTGTATGCATGATTTCATTTCATTTCATTTATTTCAATATATTTCATTTATTTTTGTTTTGTTTTAATGAACCGTTAAAAAGCCTCCATCATGTGCCAGGAGCTGAGGGCACGAAGGGAAATACCACGCTCGCGAGATGCTCGAAGTCTGGTAGAGGAAGTAAACACGTAGCCACACGCACTGCCTTGATCACAGGCAGTCCAGGCTCTGTGAAGCCAGTGCCAAGTCACTAATCCTCCAGAGGAAGCTTGCACGGCTTCAGAAAGTTGGTGCATTGGTTGTAGCCGTGAGGAAGAGGTGCATGCCGGTCCACTGGATGGAAAAGGAGAAAGGAGGCGAGCGGGATAGCAGATGGAAACCCTCTGGGTCAAGGAAGAGCCAGTGTCTTTTGAGACAAGAAAAAACCGAGTGTGGTTGAAATGAACTGGAGGTCATTCCCAGCAGGATGGGGAGATTAAACACAGGGTCTCTTGTCACGGTTTTAAATGTGATTGGCACTTTGGGAAGTTCACACCGTGACTGAAGACACCCCTTTCAAAAAGGGTGTCAGTGACAGAATGACAAGTGTCAAAGCAAACATGGTTTTTTTTTTGTCTCTTATTATTTTGCAATAATAGAGTTGGCCTCTCTGCATTTTTGGATACCTTGCAAATATCTCCTTAATTTACATTTGATTTTCCTTATTTTTGTGACTTCAAAAGAGTAAGATGCCAACAGCCTTCCGGTGGTGTCTCACAAGCAGAGTGATGGCTTTTGGAAATGTGTGTTGCCTTTTGGACCCCTGATGGTTTGGGGGGCAGGGTGCATGGTGGAGAGGGGCTCAAACAGGAAGCGGATGTCAGCACAGAGCAAGCTGGAGGAGCTGGTTGGCTCACATCTGCATATGGAGGCTCTCCGCTAAGACTCTGGCTCAGCTGTGTGTGTGGTGGGTTAGTGATCTCTAGGTTTCCTGAAACAATGCTTGGCTCCTTTGTTGAGTTTCTTGGGTTTGGCACCCCCCACCATCCCTACTGCTTTGACTCAGCAGCCTGTCTTCAGCTCTGTCCCTCTCTGCATTCCACGGCATGCTGCTACCCGAGTAGTTTCCAAAAAAACCATCTCTAGGTGACTCTGAGAAGTGCCTGAAAAATGAGTGACTGAGAAGGAGGAAACCAAGCCAAACAGAAAAAAGAAACGTCTGAACTTCCAGGCGGGCAGGGCACTCCCGCCACAATCTGGCGCCTGCAGCCCCACTCCATCTGGCCACCATGCCTACACCTGCCACTAGCGCTGCCCGGCCAGCCAGTCTGCCCCCTGCCCCCTTGTCAAAGGTTCCCCCGCATCTGTCTCCCCAGCCTCCGTGCCCAGTCACACCTGGGAGAGCTGATGGTCCACTGTCCGTCATCTATACTAGGGAAATACGTGACCGGATTAAGGCTCGTGACAAGTGACCTGAATCTAATGGAGCTGTCACATAGCCTAATCCAATGCTATCCCTACTCAACTGCATTCTCAGCCTTTCCATTTGTCATTTGCTTAGCAGAACTGACAGATGCCACTGAGCCCTAACAGCTAATAGGAACGACTGTCACCAGAAAGGCCACACGCGCATTTATTGCAATTGATGTTCGTGCCACTGAAATGCGGGACACTTTAATTCTTTAATTTTTCATTCGCCCGTCCTGTGACGGAGCTACACGGATATTTAATGCTCTATCGTAAAGCTCTGTTTTCAGAGAGCAGACAGGAAGCGGATGCTTGAAGATGACTGGGTTGTAAAGGTGAGTGTAGGAGAGGCACCTGATTGACAACGTGATGCTCTAGTAATTGTAATGGTGTTTTGTGTTTCTCCAGTATCATTCTTCACAGAACTCACAGTAGTCCAAAGTGATCTTTTCATGGCTTGCTAAATTCCTGCAAATGAGTCCAAAATTGTATCCTGAGATTTACCTAATCGTTATTACCAACAATGTGGTTTTAAAATCATGAGATATACGTGTTATATATTACATGCTCAAATATTCATGGTGTGGATATGAGTTGCATAGTGTTACATACAGATAGATATATATAGGGAGACAGATAGATAATAGATGGATGATGAATGGATGGATAGATAGATATTAGATAAATAGATAGATGATAGATGGATGATAGATGGATGATGGATGGATGGATAGATAGGTAGATGGATAGAAGATAGATAGATAGATAGATAGATAGATAGAAGATAGATAATGGATGGATTGATGAATAGGTACAGGGACAGATGGAAAGACAGATGATAGGGAGATGGAGAGATGGATGGATAGATAGATGCATAGATACATAGACACAGAGACAGATGATAGCTCAGTGGCATGGTAATGTGCTGGAGAAGGTAAAGCAAAAATATATCAATGGAAATATAAAAAGCTATAGAAATATTAGGATGTGCCGCTTTCCTTAGCATTGTTTTAAATACATTCTTGGTAAATTTTTAACCTGGACGTCA